CAGTTAGGTTCAGTCAGGTTTGAGAGTGTTCCTCGTTGTGTGATGTGTCCGACGCTCACACAGCCGAATCCATGATCGTGTTTCCACCTCGTTTGTTTGTGACAGGCGAGATGCCAAAGCTGGTGCGCGGGATGCGTTTGTTGAACCAGGCCGACCCCTGTGCCGAGGTTCTGATCCAGGAAACCGGAGAACACGTTCTGGTCACTGCTGGCGAGGTTCATCTGCAGCGCTGCCTGGACGACCTGAGAGAGCGGTCAGTGTGTGTGTGTGTCTGTGTGCTGATGTTAGGGATGTAAAGTGTTCATGTTCACTCGTCAACACTTGTTAAAGAAACCTGCTCTGCTTTGGCTCACTTCCTGTTCCTGTGGTGAATGTTCATAATTGAAACATAGTAACAGCTCAGTGTGTGCAGCAACCTCCTTATATGGTCATCTCATACAACAGTCACCCAATCAGCCAATCAGTGATACCGTGGGTTCATTATTATTTTCTTTCTGCATGCTTCCTTTGACTGACATGATTAAGTCATTGAGGATATTTCTAATCATCTCTGTGCTGATCACATTCACTTGTGTGTCTTTTGGCTTCCTTACAGTCATTTTGTTTTAAACTCAGAGTAACCGAGCTCATCCTTTAACAACATCAAATGTCTATATCAGTGATTTCTAGTCTTTCTAACGCTGGCATAATAATTACAGTTCGTCTCTGGGCTTCGACTCCCAGGTAAAATCTGTTTTACGTTCCATTTAAGGAACATTTAGGAAAAGTCTCATCAGAGAAAACATTTCATGCATCTGTGTCATCATTACTATAACACCCAGTTAACTTAATTATTATGTCTAAGAATCAAAGGATGGTGCAGGTAGTGAGCAGGATAGGTCAACTTGAAGCTTTATCCAAGAGGTCGGTCTGACTATAATTTATTTATCATAAAGACAAAAAGGGAAACTAGCTCTGCTCAGATGAACACAGCTGGGTGCACTAATCCAGTTCCTGTGGTTCTTTGAAGCCTTGGAATAATCAGACCATCCAAACTGTTCACGCAGATTATTCTGCATGTATGTGGTCGCTGATTTATACGGACAGTAAACAATCTGCTCAGCATCCGTGTGATTGGAGAAATTCTCCAGTATGGCTGCTAACCAATCAGATCACGTTCTGATAATATCCAGAGAGGCTGAAGGAGCAGTGAGTGACGGGCGAGTAGTCATCATCATTTTTATCATAATTTAATCTAAATTCATTTAGTTTTGTTCAAATAAATCTTGTGAGATTAGCACAGAGGAGGTGTGAACTTGATTCAGAGTTGTTGGTGAGAGTCGCTGCGCTCGGGTTAAAAGCGTGACGTGTGCTCGTCTCCATGACAAACACGGAGCTTCCTCCCTCACACCCTGATCGTCAGTGAAAAATCAAGAACAAGGAGCTTACGTCTGATTGGATCCCTCCCAAACTGGTCCCGCCTCTCTATACAACTTAATTAATTCTGATTGGATCT